CATAATTTTTTTGTTTTTAAGTAATTTCTCCTTTATAATTATGATAATTATTTTCTTTCTTATCTTTTTTTTTCTATAACATAAATTTAATTTTAATAACATATTCAAACAAAATTACTGGGTTTAATATTTGTCTTAATACAACTTTTGAAAAATTTATTATCTTTCTTCTCTATCTAAAAACAATACTACACATCACTTTTTCACCATTCTACAATTTTTCCAAACTTACTCAAAAAACTGCAATCAATTTCACTTCATCCAAAGATCTATACTCAACAAACAATCAATAAAATATTTTTACTCCTTAACACAACTTTACATATCGTTTATTTTTTTAACAACATTAAATCTGTTCAAACTTGTCTACAATTAGTTTTCCAATAAAATTCTCATATGTAACAATAATAATAACAACAACAACAACAATAATAATAATAACAAATAATCAACTGACAACCTATCAGATTGGGAGAGCATGGGACTTGTACCTTGTGTGAGTTCTGATAATCTTCACTTAACATGTATCCAAACAACACAACAATTAACTAAAGCTAAACTCTAATTATCCAACTTATATATATTCGAATCACAACACTTCTTTATCAACCATATAATCAACTTATATTATCTCAACAATGGAGTTGCACTCTATGAGCAGCAATACTACTATTAAAGAAAAAAGACAACTAAAGTCTAATCAATGTAAATAAAAGTAAAGCACTTTTATTACAAGTGGAAGTGAAATACCAAAAAGTTGTATTCTATAATTTGGCAACTTATGCCAGTGCTCCTCTACTGCTACTGGAGTCACATCTAGCTATCAAAAAGAAAGCTGTAACCTAGGTAGACATATTTGATTTGTACTCTGTAAGAGAGATTGTTGATTCAAAAATAATACGTCTTCAAATTCTAATACATATTATTTCTATATAACTATCCCATTCAAAACATATCCAACTATATATGGTTTTGAAGAGTAATTAACTCTGACTTTAAACTTAACGTATATAATGACTTTATGTCTACATATTTATTTTTCAAATCACCACACTGGCATATTATTTTACTTAAGATAATCTTGCCTTTTTCCTTATATATATTAATATTGTAAATAGTTTTTTTCTTACTTTTTTCTGCTCCAGGATTTTTTATTTAAAAATATATTTACTACAATAGATGGTTATGGTTCCAAAAATTGGAATCAAACAAAATCAAACAAAATCAAACAGAATCGCATGTGATTTAGAATACTATTAAAAATGATGATGGAGTATATCCCACTTATTAAATTTAATATAAACTTGAGAATTGAATACAGAATCAAAGAGAATCATTAGAATCCTTATAAGTGGTAGACTAATATGTACATAGTTTACTTTGTTCATATATCTCATATCTTGAAAATCAATTATGTAATAATAACAAATTATGACATTAATAAAGATTATGAGACATATCTCACCTTAATTTTAAAAAAAATTTTTACTTTTTGAATAAAAAATTTTAAAAAATAAAATAAAAGAACAAATTAATAAATTAAATAATTTTTTTAAGAAAATATTAATATTAATATAATAAAATTTAAATAAATGCTTATTTAATAATTGTAAAAATTTTTGTCATTTTTTTTTAAAACACACTATATATAAAGACATAATTTAAAAACTTATTATTTATATCTAAAAAAAATTCTATAGATAATATAAAAATATAAAACAACAAGTTATATAATAAATTTCTAATTTACATTTAACAATTTTAAATGTATTACTGAGATTATTCTAATATAAAATTTTATTAATAAAAATCTCATATTTCCAATATTTCAAATGTATGCATTGTAATATTATCAGTTCAAATTATTTAAATTTAAATCATAATTAACCACGTGTATTGACTATAACAAATTTTATTATTAAACAAAAATGAGAATTGTATGATTAAAATAATAGTGGCTTGGAAATCATCTTTATTGTCACTTATGCATTCGATTAATATACACGTGGTTTTAAATGTTTTTGATTTTAAATTTTTAGTCATGAGAAAAAAATGGTTTTACATATAAAAATTAAGATATGCATACCATATTTCCTATGCAGGATAAGCTTCGAGTCCTCGCTTTTCGTATTTCTTTCTATACAGACTACTAAGACGACTTGCGGCAGCGGGAACGAATGAATCTGGCTCGTTGAATTTTTTCGCATTTTTTACGATCAGCTCGAGATCATGTTGAACACCCTATAGAAATGTTTTACAATCAAAATGAAGAAACTCCGAAAAAATTCGCAAATATATAGACCAGTATGCGAACTTACATATTGATGACGATAGAATTTCTTTAAAAGTCTTTGATGGATCATTCTTAATGACATCGGATGCGGTATGACATTGAGATATTGCGGAAACATGTGGAAATTAACATGCATACAAAAACAATCGAACATCGGGTCATCCAGAAGTTCATCAATGATACCGAGGAGCTTGGTGCGAACTACAATTGAAATTTTAGGAGATGAATAATTGTAAAATGGTTTAATTCACAGATATTAAAATGTAATATCAACCTTCGTCACTCATAGAGCCAGTGATCAAATTTTCCGACCCTTGAATTTTAAGCTCCCAAGGATAGAAATCATCATGTTCATCACTGTCATCCCTATGATCACAAATCGAACATTATTTCTAGAATAGGTAACAAACGCCAATATCCACCAAATTATAAATTATAATATGTATATAAACCATTTCACAGTAAAGGACGGCACAGAGTCCGACCATAAAGAAGAATTGTTCTTTGATAATATTGTTCCAGGATAGAATCCATCTTGATAATAGACATCCACTTTATCACCGACATCGAGGTTACGATTTCGATTCATTCCCTCAGCAAACTTCTCGTACGGTAAAATGAATTCCCGTAATCCATTAAGGTCAACGTAAGGGATAATATATTTACTTCTAGGCCTTCTAAAATTACGTTCCGGGGAAAGAGGAAATTCACTTTCTGTCCATGTCGGATGGACTATTCGACATATTATCTCCGCGAACATCGAAACTTCTTGTTTATTACCAGAGCTGTCAAGGATCAACTCTGGATAATCGTTGACCGGCGACAGAATATTACTTGTTTTTGCCTCCACCATTTCGACTTTCTCTTGGTACTTTTCTCGATTTGCCTCTTTATTCTCATCATTTACATACCACGTTACAACGTCAATTTGAAAAAAGGCTATGCTGGAAAGGTCAAACTTATGATAATACGGGAAGCTTGCTACATTTTGCATAATTATGTTAAGCAACGCACAATTTTGATAGTGCTCGGAAACATAACCATTAAACGCTTGATGTCCTCTCTTGAAGTACACAATATAATCTCCCGGCTTGAAAAAGAACAATATAAAATTAGATACAACTGATAAAAAGACGCATATTGATTTTGAAGTTGTAAACAAAAAAAAAACTTGCTTGGGGTATATAAGTGAAGTTTGGATCGACCGCTTTAATCCAATCTGGGCGACGATCTGCCTCCTTATGTTCTTCAGTTTCCACCGATTCTCGGTTATTCAATGTATCAATCCTTACGCCATTTATTGGGTTTTCGATGGATCTAGAACCAAAATTTTCGGGAATTTGCTTAGTACCCGACGTATGATCTGATATATTTCCATCGTTTCTATGTAAGGAAGGTGATCTCGAATTACGTCGTGCCTGATCGTTTCCAGATATCTCATACGTCGAAATTTTAGAATGCGTGGTATGATGATATTCAGACGCATCGTAGTCATCAGAAAGAAAGGAATCACTTTCATTATAATTTATGCGCGCACGTACTCTCCTCAACGGTCGACTATTGGTGGTAGTAGTGGTTGCACTAGGGCCGCCTATGTCTTCTATGTATTCATCATCATCATTTCGCCTTCGTTTCCTACTCTTAGCATTATTAGACTTGGCAGGAATAGGTTCATCATTTTCAGTATCGGGAAAGACAAATTGTTCATGATCGGTTTCATTGAGTGAAATTTCACCGCGGGCTTTTGCTTTACCACGACCCCCACCCTTCGCACCTATATTTGAACGTCCACGCGAAGTTTTTGCTCGTTTGTTGGGAACATAATCGCTGTCATTATCATTGTCAATCACCTCATGTTCAATATCTCCAAATATGGAATCATCTTTAGAGAATCGTTCTTCTACTTCACTATCCTCACTTGTTTCAGATTCGGACAATTCGGGGTCATAATTTTGATCACGTTGTTCATCATCATCAGGTATGGGGATTATGGGGATTTCAATAGTCATCGGGTCGATATCGTCGAGTTCATCTTCCGATAATATGACCTTTCGCCTGTGTTTCTGAATCTCTTTTAAGTCCATCTTTTGATTCAATGGTTTTAACTCAAATGGATCTTCAACAAGCCTTCTGGCTTCCTCGATTATCATCTCGAGTCGTCCTCGATTCATGAAGTTAATGTCCTTCTCAGACATTGGTCCTGATATGCTCTTGATAAATTCTACACTATGTTGATATGCGTATGGTGTTCCTTGACTGCTGATGACTTCCAGCTGAATCGGGCATTCAGCGTGAACCCATCCATCGTTATACAACATGACCCCTGGGTTTGAATTTGATGATATTTCCACGATTTCGGAGTACAAGTCTTCGGTCGAGAATTTTTGTCCAAATTTGGCACGCTGTATCTGATGTGTATATAATTCTTTTTTTAGACCGATCAAATAACATTTACCGACGTTATCAGTAACGGCAAACATTACACCTTATCAAGATATTCGAGGATAAAGTTATTAAACATGTATGAGTTGGGTAATAGACGCAAAAAAACGAACGAGACATACCATCCTCTCGCCATTTACCGTCATAAAATTCAAATGTTTCATTGCCGCCATCATTTCTATGATGTGGTTCGCTGTTTAGCAGATCAAGGTCGTAGTGCGACCATGCTGTTCAAATACAAAATAAGAAATTTAATAATAATAATAATATATTTATATGTTTCTTTCTGTCGCATGGTAAACCAATACTTGCATTTCAGTTCCTCCCTTTGGTCCACATTCCATACGACAATTCGGTCATCATATCCCGCAGACATGAATATTTTAGGGTCACGTGGATTAACATCAAGAACATAAAATATTTTGCTATGTGCTTGAGCGTAGTGTCGCACCCTCTGCCCTGTGGCACTATCAAATACGTTGATGTCTCCATTGTTGTGACCGGAGACGATATATTGATCATTACAACTCCATCGAATGGTAGTAATGGGGACACCTGCGATGAGCTCTTTAGACCCCCAATCTTTAAGTTCTTTATCATAATCCCAAAGCAATAATTTTCCATCATCTGATCCGGAGATAAGTTGGTTGCTAAAGTGTGCAAATTCAAGAGAATGCACCTTCTTAGTATGGCCTATTAGATCAGATAATAACACCGGCGTAAAATAAAGCTGCCTAATTAATTTTTCAATTATTCCTGGTACAGGGTCTTTGGATTTATTTTTCTCAGAGTCCACCTTTGATTTCTTTTCCTCAAATACATCCTCCGGCTCGTCGCGATTCTCCAACGTGATATCGGACTTATGATCTGAAAACATATCGGCGTATTCGCCGATACGCTCACGATTAGTCATTTCAATCTCGTTGTGTTCCGAAGCCGTATCATTTTTAATGTTTGTCTTATGACCAGGAGTTATGACATCATGATATGAAGTCACGTCGTGGTCAGCCATACTAGCGTCATTAACAATATCGTCATCCTTGAGTACGTCGTTCAAGTCGATTGGGTTTGGCAATTCCTCAATATCCTGATCAAGAAGTTCGTCGTCACCACCTGACACCTCCAGATGACCCTCATAATCCGAGTCGACAACCATTCGATCATTTGCGCGAATTGTTCGAACTATGTCTGATAAATTATCTTCAATATCCGCATTGTCAAGACCATCACGAGTGTCTTTAAGGTCTATTTCCATGGATTTTAAAACGGACACATCACTAAAATCTATGTCACTCATGCAGGATTTTACCGACTGCGGGGGTTCCACGCGTTTACTAGATGTGCTACTCATAATTTCGACATCATTTTCGTTTTTCACGCTCTGTGAACCATCGCTCAAACATGGTCCTTGTGATTCGGTGACTATTTGTTCTTCCAGATTCGAACGCCTTTGTCCCCTCCGGACGCAACGTAATTGAGGTGAATTTTGATTAACCGTTTCGCGACCTTTATTGCCATCTTCATCAATGTATGCTGGTTGATATTCAGGTATGGCAGCCAAATGCTCCTCGATGTATTTAACCAGATCGAACTTTTCAATAGCCTCCTGGATCCGAGTTTTTTCATCAGCTTTGAGTTTTGAATAGTCGGACATATAATTGTCTTGTTGTTGTAATCCTTTTATAAAGGTTTTATCTTTTATTGTCGAAAAGACACGTATCAGTCCGTCATTACCGCCAATTGCGAATCGAGTACCAGTTCGGTTGAAGGATGAGGTCACGAAATACGATCTGGTTTTGTACAAAACGGCATCCGGTCGGGTGACTTGGGCGTTTTCGATGTTCAATGGGACCTTTTCATTAGCCCTATCATACCTGACCAAGTAAAAATTGCTAGTTTTGCACGTTGCGAGAATATAGCAGTTCTCAGCAAGCGGAGTCGAGGAAAATTGGATTGAAGTAGGAACAGAATCCTACAAAGAGGATTAATCCTTGAAGTAACCTGGTAAACATTCATATGACAAAAAAAAAAAAAGCAAACCAATTTTACTTACAAGACGGAATTTCGTGATTTTTTTGTAATTCACTAGATCAAATAAACAAACATTTTTGTCCCCACATGCAACAGCGAGAATATCATTTTCCTTGTTTATCGCCATATCTACAATCCCTCCGTAGGTACAATTAAACGTACGTAACAAGATACCGTCATTACTAGACCATATTTTAACTTTATTGTCCTCATTTCCAATTATTATTCTTTGTCCGGAAGGGTCAAAAAGGATATTATATGACGGTAGAGAATGACAACCGTCAAGCGTGATTAAAGCACTAAAGCTTTTATACAAAACATTTGGTGCAGAATCTGCGACTATATTTGCACCGCCCAGTTGCCGTCTCACAAGCGCTTCAACTTTCATAGAACAAAAATAAATAACATAAATATATAAATGATAGGTAATTAGTTACATCCGAGGAGAAAGGGTAATTATCATTATCTTCCAGGTTCATACACTAACCATGATCGACTCTTTCAAATGTATCAAAGTGTAGTCTTCTTGGTGCAAGCGATTTACATGCCTTAAAGGAGAAGTCTTTATCAATGCTAAGGGGCTGCATAGTTTCTCTCATGTAAGACTTCGAATGATACATAAGAAATTCCTGAAGCAATATGAAATGTTCATTAAAACTCTGACATAACCATTATCCACATTATTAACGTGTTATTACCAATTCATTCCACGTATGTGTGAGCCATTCGCCCGTAGGAGAAAGTCGCTTAGGCAAAAGCTCAGGATACATTCCTACTGTCTCGATAAAATTATTGTAAGCTTGCTCGGTTCGCGTGTCACTCTTCAACACGTGTATCGCTTGTAAAATTACATCTAAAGAATGTCACCGATATCATAAGTTTAGTATCAGAGCCACAATATCACTAATAGAATATGTTGAAATATGATGTGTTGATCTCCAGATTCAAAATTCTCACACTTATTACATAAACAACACACTGAGCATAAATCCAATTTCAACCTTGTTAAGAAATATGCCCAAACTTTACGTGTCAGCACTGACAGATCCCTTCATTAAGTATTTTAATTGAATCTAATTACTGCTTAGTTAGACAAACATCTCATTCAACCCAATAAAACGAATTACTTACTACGTCGGTACTCTTTCTGTTCTTCTTCTGAAACCTTCTGAGGTTGAACCATTTCTTCGAACTCTTCTTGAATCACCTCATTTTGTACCTGATTCATTTCCTCTTCAAGAACCGTCACAAGTGGAATCTCCTCTGGTGGTGTCTTTTCTGGTTGCACTTCTATAATGCTCTCTTCCTCTTGCTGAACTTCTTCCACGCGATCCTCGGCTTCTTCAATAGGCGGAGTGTACGTTCTAGCTGCAAATGAATCTTCAAGATCAAAAGAATCTTCGCTTGCATCGAAGAACTCATCGTCAAATCCTTCGTCACTATCTGGCTCATACTCGTCATCGCTCATGGTATAGGTGGTTTTGGCGAGCAGGGAAAGGAAGCGTGTATTAAACTATCCAAAGACTCTGAACGTGTAAAATATGGAAGGTGCACTGAAGTCTGAATTTTTTAAACTCGAATTTCGGGTGTTTATTGACAATTGAATATGTTACACAGTCACCTGACCAGTCAGCGGGATCGAGTTGTTTACCTTGGTAACAATCTTATATTAAATTGGGTAACCTGATAAATCACTTATCTAACACTCTAGATATTGTTTGTTTCCAACCCATCAATAAATAATAAAATATTGAATGACTTTGTATTTATTTTTTTTAAAAAAAAATTAGAAAGTATGTTCAAAAGTATTAAATTCAAACCATCTTTCAGTTACGGCCATACACAGTGAAAAGCACCGGAACCCGTCCGATCTCCGAAGTTAAGCCACTGATGGCCCAGTCAGTACTATGGTTGGGGACAACATGGGAATACTGGGTGCTGTAACTTTTTGTTTTTATTTTCATTTTTTTTAAAAATTAACCCTATGATGAATGCACGTGAATCCAATCTCAAAATAAAACTCGTCGTGCCTTAAAGGACTTTGCACGAAAATGCAAATTTCGAGGCGGCAAAAAAAACTTGCAAGAAAACAGCTTCAATATCGAAATGCTCAAGCATCAACATATGCAACTAGGACACCGTTTCGTGATGCAGAAAGGAATTTTAAATCGCGTTTACCGCCACCTGATTTTAGCAACGTTATCGACTTTTCTAATATCGATAAATGTCGCGAAGACATTAAAAGTAAAATTGTTGAGGTAGAATTAAAAGTAGATCTGGGCGAAGAATTCGAAAAATTATTTGGGAGATTTGACGGGATAGAAAACATTAATAGGAAGAAAGCATATTGCATTAAAGATTTACCAGGTATTCAAAACATATTAAACTTCCTATCATTTATTTTTACTAACGCCATTAGTTATATTAGGATTTATATTTATTCAAAATCCTTTCACTCCCGAGGCACAAAAATACATAATCAAACGATGTCTTAAAGATTTCGCGAAAAAACCGAATCTTTGTAATCTTGACACACATTATGTTTTGCCCAACCAGGGAATTTGGGAACTCCACGAAAAAGTATATAAAGGTCAATTGAATGAAAATGATAAAGAATTCTTTGTACCGTTGAAAGCTGCATCGATGGAAGAAATCACTGAGCAATATATTGACAATGACGAATCATCACCTATTCTGAAATCGAACAATCAAAGAGTTGATTCTTCATTAAATGCAAAATCTGATATAGTCAAATGTTTAGATAACAAAGAAGTTCAAACAAAAAATTCAAATTCGAACGAAAGAAAATTTGACCCTCTCCCATCTGCTACTGTTCCAATACTCTCACCACTCGAGTTAATTAAGAAACTTAGATGGGTAACATTGGGATATCAATATCATTGGCCAACAAAAACATATCATTTTGATCGTCGTTTTGATTTTCCCAAAGATATTAATGATCTAGCAACAGCAGTTGTCAAAGCAATAGATGGCGTTGGATTAAAGGATGGCAGTTTTATACATCGATATGATGCTGCAAAATGGAAGTCTGAAGCCGGCGTAATAAATTATTACCAACTTAAAGATAATTTAATGGCACATGTTGATCAGAGTGAGATAAACATGGATGCACCTTTAGTTTCCTTTAGGTCAGTGAATTCTGATTCTTACACGAATTCTATCTCGCATCTTCACATCGACTTAGATTTCTTTATACATGTTTCTAGTTTTGGACATTCATGTGTTTTCCTTATAGGTGGCTTGACGCGTGAGACTCCACCATTAGCGATGTATTTAAGAAGTGGTGATATTTCAATCATGTGTGGTCCTAGTCGAGGGTGTTTTCACGGTAATTATGATTTATCACAAATTGTAAATCGCGTAATTGGATTACTTATACAATTATCATTCTTCCAACGTTTTCTAAGGTGTCCCACGAATTCTGGAAGGCACTCTTCCAAAGTATTTTGAATACAATGATTCTGAAAATCCGGAGTGGAAAATTTTTGCAGATTACATGTCGACAACACGTATCAACATTTCAT